AAATTTCATTGTTTCCAACTATGTGTTGAGCTTGTCTGGGTTCTTTAAGTTCTCACAAGTTGCTCTCATTCGAGTTGGTGATGCCGATTGGGGAAGATATAAATCAGTGAAATGTTGCTAAGCGGCATAAGCATCAAACACGACGACTTGATACCAATGCGAGTCTCCAACTTACGTTTGTCATCATTTGCACTGCATGCATGCCATAGGCCGGGTCTGGGTTTGCGGCTTGCCGGTCCGGACTGGCCGATCGGCCGGTCTCGTTGCTGCCGCCCGGTCCGGCTTGATGGTAACCGCTGCTGGTCGACTCGAGGTCCGGACAGGCCAGCGAGTCGTCGACCTGGCAGGCGCAGGAGAGACCGTCAGCAAATCCGGCCACGTGTTGTCGTGACAACCGAGACCAATGGTCATAGTGGCCGGATTGCATGTGGGGCGAGGGCAGCTGGTGCCAGAGAGGCGTCGGTACCGGTTGGTGCGCGGCCAGACCGGCCGAGCACGGTTGATGCTGCGGTGGTGGCAGATGATACTGTCGATGCTGATGCTGATGCTGATGTTGGTGGTGATTGTGTGAATTCACGTTATTCAGCTGATGCAAGTGTGTGTGTGCATGTGCTTGTGCGCGTGCGTGTGTGTGTACGTGTGTGTGAGTGTGTGTGTGTGCGAGTGGATTGGACAGAGCGGAGTGAAGACGATCCGTCGGCTCGGTCAGACAGCCTCGGCAACTGCACGCCTGACTTGGCCCGACCGTCAGGCTGCTCAACGTCGGGCAGACGCTCGGCGGACTCATCTGCCCGTCGGGGAGGCCGGAGTCGCTGGGTCGGCCGGACAACCGGTCCGCCGGTCCGTAGGTCAACAGGCTGCTGCCGGGCCCGAGGAGACTTTGAGTCTGTCCCGTCGAGGCGACCGAGAGTGCAGCGTTTCGCGAGACGGACTCGGACGTCAGGCCTCCGAGCAAGCGAACATCGCGGGCCTCGCAAGCCGAGCCGTTGAGCGAATGCGCCAGGCCGGCCAACTGGGTCGACCTGCCGGGGCTCGAGCCGGTCGGGCCGACGCCGACGTCGAAACCGCCGGATCCCGAGGCCGGGCCGAGGATGCCGGAGAAGTGTCCCATCGAAGCCTCGGCTTCGAGGAAGCCGCCGTTGAAGATGGTGCCGGGACACTCGGGTCCCCAGCGCCAGGCGACCGAGGCGGTGGCCGCGGCTGCCTGCTTTCTCGTAGTCACGAGGCCGGGTCCGAGTCCCGCGCCGAGCCCAGGGCCCATTGGCGGCTGGGCGGCTCGCCGGCACAACTTGTCGCGGCGGCGGCGGCGACTCCGCTGGCACACGATGCCGAACACGACCAACCCGAAAAGCAGAAGAGCCAGACCTACCGAGAGGCCCAGCAGGAGGCTACGCAAGCCGCCAGCCTGATGAAGAAGGCCTCCGGACTCGAACCTACCGACCGGCGGTGGAGTGGCTGCACAAGAAAGACAGAGCAAGAGTTGTCATAAAACAGATAATTCAACTCAGCTCAGTCATGAAGGACTGATTGCATTTCAGTTAACCTCACTTCTCAAAAGCTATGCTCATCCCGACTGAAAGGAAGAGGCGATTTCCACCTCGGACCTCATTTCCACGCTCCCCCGTAGCTCTCGAACCCGGAACTAGATGCGAATGATCTCGACTCGCTGACATAACGCTACATTGCTACTCTTTGGCGGCAAGGCTAAGTGAAATTAAATGAAATCACGAGGCTTTCTTGTATCATTGTGGAGAAAATTCACTTATTAATCCATCCTAACTTGAAAGATTTATTCAAGATTTATGGATAATTTCAAAACCTTACTTTTAATGAAAAACTTATGATAAAAAACCCTCGAAACTCTACTTACATACGAAAAAGGATATTTCG